CGAAAGTCTTGGGGATTATCAAGCGGTTTTCTGGCCAAACTGAGACGAGCCTTTGTTCTTTTTGCTCAGCAGTGGCTTTTGTCTTGGAACTGTGCTCTTTCTTTTGGTGGAGTCATGAACACTGACCTTAACTGAGGCAAGTGAAACCTGCAGTTCTTTGGATGCTGTTGGGTTTTTTTGTCACTGTGCTCTTGGGGTAATTTTGGTCAGCTGGCCACTCCTGGGAAGGTTCACCACTGTTCAGTGTTTTCGCCATTTGTGGATAATGGCTCTCACTGTGGTTCACTGGAGTCCCAAAGTTTTAGAAGTGGCTTTATAACCTTTTCCAGACTGATAAGTCTCACTCCGTTTCTCATTTGTTCCTGAATTTCTTTGGATCCCAGCATGATATCTAGCTTTTGAGGATCTTTTGGTCTACTTCACTTTGTCAAGCAGGTCCTCTTTAATAGATTTCTTAATTGAGAACAGGTGTGGCAGTAATTTCTCTAGCCACACACAAGCATCAGGCCTGTGTGTGGCTAGAGAAATTAAACTCAGCTTTCTTAAGATGTGATAAACCACAGTTGATTTATGTTTTAATGGGGGGGCAATCACTTTTTCACACAGGGCCATTAAAAAACTGCATTGTGTTTACTTGTGTCATCTTTGTTTAATGTTTCAATATGTTTGACACTCTGAAACATTTCAGTGTGACAAAAAAGAAATTAGGAAGGGGGTAAACACTTTTTCACACCACTGTACCTCACCTTGAGAATAGGGTTAAGATATGTTTCCTGCTTGTGTCTGCAGATTTTGTTGAGGGCCAGGAAGGCGAGAACCCGACTCGTCTCTTCCCCCGTGCTCCACTGCTTCATCAGTTGCTGGGAACAAAGACATGAGATAGCTTATAAGCAAAACCATTTTGCAGTGAACAAGTATGACATCCCATTTTATTTTACAGTAACTTTCATCTTACCTTAACCAGGTGACGGCACTGTTTGGGTAGACAAAGGTAATAAGGTACGAGCTGGTTGGCGTGCCGCAGGACAGCGCTGATGACCGTAGCCTCTGTGAGACAGGATAACAGCTACAGATGAAGAGCGAGACAAAAGAGATGTTAGGAAAACCGTAGGTAATACAGGGATGTTTTTAGAACACAAAATAAGACATTTCTCTTCATCTACTGTATCTCATCCTGCCTACCTCACAAGAATCTATGAGGCAAAAATCATAGTGACAAAAGCGCAGACACAGAGGAGAGACACTTGACCAGTAAAACAAACCTGAACTACTCCACTGAGATACATCTTGATGTCGATCTGATTCTTCTGCCACTTTGGACTAGACGATGGGAGCACTAGCCTGAGAACAAAACAGGGGAAATGGAGTGAATCATCTTTCCACAGCTAGACTAAGACTAATCAACAGGAGATAAGATCCACAGATGTGACATCCACTTCATACTTTTTCTGGTCTTTCTCTGGCTTCAGGTTGAGCATCCTCTGCAGGGCCACATAAATATCTCTGATACAGAACAGGACCAAGGCGTTGAACACTGCAGACAGTATAGGGAAAAATGTGAAACAAACAGCAACAAAAAATAAATAAGTCAGTGAAACAGTGCTGTGTAGAGGTTGTAATTGAAACAAATTCCTCCTGTTTTTGGCACTGTGTCTGGTTACTTTTATTACCACTGCTGTTTTGTATTTTACGCACTGCTAGGTGAGTTTCTATTATGCTTTTATTAAAAGGTGAATATTATAGATAAATTCAATATCATGAATGTTCATGCTTGTCTCTTATGTGCAGGAACTCTTACTGTGTTAAAATGTATGAAACTGTGACAACACAAAGCCAATTTTAAACCGCATCCCTGTACCAATAATATTTACTGCAAACCTTTTAGAATTAGAAAGTGTATACTTTTTTTAAATTACAGCTATGAACTACATTTTGACAGCTACATAAACAACACTTCAGTATATCCTGAATGTGAGGCCTAAAAAAGTAACAGAAACTAGAACAAGGTGTCAAACATTAATACTTTTTGGGTAATGACCGAAATGTGTTTTTGATATCTATAAAATATTGAATGCTTGCATCAAACATCTGGGCATACTTATTTATTTTTGATCAGAGCGTACCTAAATTAAATCAAAATTTTGAAGTCTTGACTGCATTTTATTTTAAGCGTCTACAGTCGATATTATATGGAACAATGTATGGTCGTAGTGAAGCTACTGAAGATTGTCACCCAAATGTGCACCTCCCCTCAGCTTTAACAATCTGTAAAGTTAAGTGTCAGCTCATTGTTTCATTATCTGGCCCGCAACTTTACTGTTTTGTTTAACTCTCCCTTGTCCTCTAATGCATAATTTTCTACCACAGTTAGCAATTAGCCAGTGAACATACTGGACCATTTATTAGCGAAGAGCCTGATATTTCCCTCAGGAGTTGGTAGAGACCAAAAACAGAGGTAAAAGAGAGTCACTTACATTCCCAGCTGGCCATAAACACAAATGAACGATAATGTTTACCCAAGTGCTGGATATGAAAATAGGCAACTGCTTGCTATCATATTCGCTATATAAACCTAAAAGGTTATATATAAATGTTGTGTTCACAACTTGTTTTCACTGCCCCCAAGAAAAATAATCTATTGTTGAATAACTGAACGCCTGCTTGTATTAAGGCAATATTTAACAGAAGTTTGAAAAGCTTCTTTTGTTAAAAGAAACAAACAAAAGTTTTTTTTGTTTGTTTTTTTTAAGGAGGTTTCTCAAGGTATTGGTTTCAAGAAAATTGATATATTCAGCCAAAATAATGACAATTTAAATTCTCTATTGAAATGCTGCAGTTTGAATACACGTACTAGGCACCTCAAATCAAACACCATCTTCTACCTGAACTGTCAGCCACTTTGTATCGACACTGAGCCCCTCCTTCACCCTTGGTTGTAGCCACGGCAGCCTTAAAGGCCTGGGTGACTTCTCTGAAGAGACGAGGGGTGGGTTCCTTCTTCATAGCTGCTTTCCAGTCTTCAATCATTTTGTCTGTGACTTTGATAATCTCCACTGCCTTCTTGGATTTCTTCGAGGCTTTCTGACCCTCCTCATCATCTTCATCATCGTCACCAGAGCTGGCCTCCTACATGCAAAACACACCTATATGAAGATCTTTGTTTACATAAAATAAGTCATTGTCTACTCACACCTCGGCAGCTGACCTACCTCCAGTGCGGATGGCAATCTGTGGTACTTTTTCTCATCCTCATCCTCAGAGCTGTCTGTGTCATCAAAGTTTAGGAGCGTTTGGTCGTTCTGTTGCAGAAACTTGTAGAACTCTGGGTCTTTGTTCTTTAACCTGGACAGCTGGTCCTTATGCTCAGAGGCCTTGCCTTTCTTGTGTTCATCACTGTAAAGACAAATAAAAAGCAAAAAAAACCAAAGAGTTACTTGTCTGTCCTGGAGAGGTTTTGATGGTGTTATTACCATCACAAGAATAAAAACAATATGTAAATAATGCTACTACAGAAAAGGACTCACGTATTAGAGGTTGCAGATTTCAGACCTTTCTTCTTTTTATTGAGTCCATTCTGTCTGTAAGTCTCTTCTTCAGATTCATCTTCACCTGCAGAATCAAAAGCGCCTGACAGCAGGAACTCATCCAGACTGAGGTCTTCTAATTTCCTGCCAAAAAAACAATTCTGCAAATGAAATCAGGTGGCCAACATGTGGGGTGGGGGACTTTAAATGATGCATGGTCTAGTTTACAGTTCAGTTCAAACGCTTTGCTGTTTAGCTGTCAGCTTGTCAGTTAGCTTGCCATGTGTAAATGTATCCTTTCACATTTTTATTTTAAGAAGAAGAAAAGACTAAACATGTAGCTGGCGTTTTATTCAAGCTAGCTGCTTCCAAGAGCCCCCAATAGCGAGTTAGCTTTGATAGCATGGATAGCTAAGACACTATCGCACATACTGTTAGCTAAAACGAGTCTTGCAAACCCCACAAGTTCACAGACTGGACTGACAACACTTTAACTTATTAAAGCAACACGAATGTATCGTTAAAACTCTTAATATACAGCACAGACTAAAGAAAATAGACGTACCTTTTCTGTTTCCCTGCCATGCTGGATCCAAAACGTGATACCGTCCTACCTCAATACCCACAATCCCCCGGTGCAAAATGAAGGCTTTGGTTTTATGTTTCATGGGTGCCAAATCGTAAGCTATTAGTGTTTATAACTGTAATGAAATAAGCATACCTATTTTGACCCAACAGTGCAGGCATGTTTTGGCTTAGTTTTTGATAATAAGTGTAAGCATTAACATTAGTCGTTATTAACGCTTAATCGAGTCCGAATTTGAAAAAAACAGTCGGCGAACACGACAACCTCGAAAGGCTACTGTCAAAGCTGTTCGTCCAAGAAAGAGCAGTGTTTTGATGCTGCACGTGAGGTTTAAATTAAATGGTCAGCTGCATTCACGAGACACGGGCAATTGAAAACCTGCGGATGATACAGTGGTTTTACTCTTTAGTGAGTTGCATTACAAAGCCACAAAGTTGGGCAGGCTGACAAACAGGAAGAAATCATTGCTGTCATATCCACACCGACGACGGCTGGTGGTGAGTAGTGATTTTACTGCAGGCAGAGTTAACGTTAGCTAATCTGGTTAGCCCATTAATTTACATTGCGGCGGCTTTTATTTTAATTTAACGTTACAGTGTTGAAAGCGTCGTTCCAACCAAAAGAAAATGAGGGTACATTATTGAACACTGAGTTTATGAGTTGTTCGCTGTTTGTTTGATTTGGTAGTCTGGGTTAACCGAGGCGGAGGATGGTTGAGGTCCTGCCCAATCACGGCGCGTCTAAGGAAAACCCCGCCTTCCGCGCTAGCTTACATGAATTCATCGAACGCACTTCCGGACTCTGACAAGACAAAAGGGGGCGCTTAAGGTGGTTTGTGTCACGTCGAATAATAAAACTCATATACTTTGTAAATGTATGACATTTGCTCTTAAAAAATAGCTTCCGGTTTGTTTCATGTGTTCCGCTCTCTTTCCGCGGCATCATATTTCAGTAGCATGAGCGGCGCTGCTACTTTCACCTCCGGAATTTCCAGCTCCACCTTAACAAACCGATGTCAGCTTTCATGCAGTTTTTTTTTCATTGACGTCAACTGCATACGGCACAAAACAGAGGCTTTCTTCATATTTCGTATGCTTGAGTCAGAATATGGACAGATTGCCAGACAGTGGTACCAATTTTAAACCATCCTGACTGCGACGGCTGCTGATTTATCTCCCTTCATATCAAGGAAGACACCGTATGCAAGGGTAGCCGCGACGCAGCCACCGGTAAAGAAATGACACATTCATTCTCTATTGCTGCTGCTGCTGCAGCTGATAGCTGCTGTTATTCAAAATAGATGGAGTGGGGGTTGGGGTTTCTTCAGATCACATAAGGAGGCTGGTATATGAATAGAATCACCCATCTGTCCAAAAGAGACTAGAGTGGTCATGAGTGTGTATCCAACGAGATTGTGCATGTTTGTCAAGGAGCCACAGAACCTTTGTGTGGATGTCAGCCAAGAGCCAGAGAGGCGAGACAAGTCTGGGATGAACAAGACAAGTGCTTTACTCTTGTTAGTTTAAACTGATAATTGTGTTTTCACTTCTGCCACAACCTTCTCCTGTGCACCCGTGTCTCAATTTACAGCATTGTGTCATGTTATTCTCATGAGAGCAGATTGTTCCCTCATAGAGGAACATGGTTGGTGTGAGGGTTTTTGTCGTCTATTGTGTTTTGGAAAATGGGACCCAGGCGCCAGACAGCTGTGGTGACATTTGAGATGGTCCTCAGTGGGATTGGGCAGAGTATTTAGTTGAAAGAGTACCTCTGAACAGATGACAATATAATTATAATGCGCTGATCCTCAGTCAATTGTCTATATGGATGGAGAGACATGAAACTCAACTTCATCAGAATCAATGAAATGTTGTTGTCTTTCAGCCTTGATGGTTGCTTTTCTTGGACTTCAAACTGATCAATATTGTTCCCTGATGAGGTCGTGCCACCTGCCTATTTGTTCTAATAAGTTTGTGCTATTGTCCCAAAAATCTCTCTTTTTATTTACAAACATGAATAATGAATTTAAAATGAAACATTGGCAACATTAAACAACTCCTATGAGGAAGGAGGTCATACTACCTTGTTTTACACTTTTAAACTCACTTAGCTCCTACTACTAGGTACCGCTGCATTACATTCAGTGTATTTGAGTGAAAATAGTCTGTTTTAGGCCTGTGATGGTTCTAATTTAGTTCTAGTCTGGTTTCGCCTCATCAAGCAGTTTGCGTTAATGCATCCTACATACTCACAAGACAACAACTTCTAAGATGCCGCGTGACGATGGTTATGCAACGCTCTGAATGTGTTCTCCATCCGAGAGCAGGGCGGATGAGAGAGTACAAAGGAAAAGACTAACTCAGGCTACATCCTTCTCTCCTCCCACCCTGCCTACTGAGGCTGCAGCTGGGGTGAGGTTGGGGGGGTTTCACAGCTAATTCTGGTGCAATTAAACACGCTAGTCAGGAGTCACTGCAATTAGATAAACCAAAGCAGTCCAATAGAAGCCTGCATTGATTTTATTCCTGTTTATGGAATAATGTCCATCTTCTCTCTATTGTCATATTGCGATTTAATCAGTCTTGACACTGAATGTCAAATAACCAGGCCAACCTGCTACAAATTGTAATTGTACTGAGCTTTCTGTCATACTGGTGGGCTTCCTTGCATAGCTGATGGCTACTATTAACAGTAACGTCAGGTACAATGATTGCTCTGGTCACCTGTCATCCTTGCAAATAAACCAAGCCCTTGTATGTGGAAATGTTTTCTAATGACAAAAGACATTTTTATAATTTAATGGTGTTGATATTAACTGACATGAAATATGTTTTTCTGCATGTTTCAGTTGCCCAGAGTGTGGCCCAGGCAAGAGCCCGCGACCGCCACATCAGGCACCATGATGGAGGGGGGCATGCAGCTGCTCAACCGCGATGGCCACAGCATCTCGCACAACTCAAAGCGCCACTACCACGACTCCTTCGTGTCCATGAACCGGATGCGACAGCGTAGCCTGCTGTGTGACATTGTGCTTCATGTCTCCAACAAAGAAATCAAGGCACACAAAGTGGTGCTGGCATCCTGCAGCCCCTACTTCCACGCTATGTTTACCAGTAAGTTTAGTCATCATTGTCCAACTTGTCTGATTTTATTCCTGTACATGCCGCCTGTTTTCAGTTTGCTTTCTGCTTTCATCCGTGAAACCCATGAAGCCCAGTGTGCTGCATGCCTCAGACATTTTAAGCTCTGACATCAAACCGCGCATCATTTTGCTCTGTTGCTTGGAGTTTGATGACATAACAACTCGTGTGTGTGCAGTCAACGCCACCTCATCCTTTCAGCGTCATCGCTTCCTTCCTCCTCTTCCTGTCTGGGGCACAGGTGGTCAGATGAGGTCTGTGTGTCTCAGATTTCCTCCCAACACTAGACCTTTTGTGAGGGCACAATGTGTCTCCAGACACTCACTTGTCTGGCTTTAAGATGCTGATCCAGTCTCGAATAAGCTGATATTAACAAAATCTACTGATCTTTCATGAGCATCCAAACAACAAAATCACAGCTCTCCTGCAGAAATCGTGTTTGCAATTTCGTATAACTAATGGGAGATGAAACATTTGACTGTTGGTGTAGAACCTCCTGACACATTTCTGCAGGAACACCCACGCTGGGCAAGAGTGTACAGATTCAGAAATTTTAGAAAACCTCCACACACAACAACTGATGAGCTGTGCTGACATTGATGGCGGCGCTGTAGACTTTAAGAGCCGCCATGTGTAAGCATGATGGAACAGGGAGGTAATTATATCAGCCAGAGTTTTAATACTTACTTTATAACTTGTGGGGAAAATATATAACTTGTATGTGCTTGTTCTGTGCGGTCATGCAGATGAGATGTCGGAGAGTCGGCAGACCCATGTGACCCTACATGACATCGACCCTCAGGCTTTGGAACAGCTGGTCCAGTACGCCTACACAGCAGAGATTGTGGTTGGGGAAGGCAACGTGCAGGTAGGGAAGAATATTTGTATAGACAAGACTGTGAAAGGAAGACTTTTTATTTGATCCTTATTCATCACGTTTGATAGAGGATAAGTCGATACAGCATACTCACATTGTTTTTTTTCCACCTGAAACCTAGACTTTGCTCCCAGCGGCCAGCCTGCTGCAGCTCAACGGGGTGCGGGACGCCTGCTGTAAGTTCCTCCTGAGCCAGCTAGACCCCTCTAACTGCCTGGGTATCCGAGGCTTTGCCGACACGCACTCCTGCAGCGACCTGCTCAAGTCAGCACACAAGTATGTCCTGCAGCACTTTGTGGAGGTGTCCAAGACAGAGGAGTTCATGCTGCTGCCGCTGAAACAGGTAGGCATGATGCCTTTTCTATCTCCTGCAGCGTCTTCTGCAACCGGTGCTTTTATATAAAACCGTTTTAATGGTGGCATAATTCATGGTGCGAAATAAACAATTGTTGATAATTCTGTCTACTAGAAATTGCTCGCCCTGTTTGAAAGTCACACTGGTAATTTGCTTACCATGAGACTTATTTGTTAAAGTAAGTAACCATGGGGAACTAGGGTGTAAAAGTAGACTGCTGTTTTCAGTGTAAAAGCCACTGACAAGTAGAAAGAAACATTTCCTGATCTTTACCTAGTCTCAGTTTATTTTGTGTCAACTGAGTACTAAGAAAAACACAAAGATGAACACTCACTTAGTACTTGGTACAGTAATACTAAGAAGCACTTAAGTTAGTTCTTGCATATTGTTTATCAACGTTGCTCACTAATATGAGCACAGCTGTCCATATCCAAACCAGTCATGTTTTTCGTCACAGATGCTCCCCAAGGGATGTGGCCACAAACATGCTGTCGAGTTTTTAACATTAATTACAAGGACCTGCATCAATCACTGTCTCTTGTGGTTTTATCATCCCAGTGTGTTGCCGTTGACTACTTTATCTGGCACGTCAACGTAGGCAAACTATACACTTATTCATCAGCTGGGCACAGCAGTGTTCAACATTGTGATCCCGATCCTGGAAGTGGTAATTAGGCAAAGCCAGTGACATGTTCGCAGATGCTGCACTGTTTATAGAGCTAACCGTGTTGCTTGCTTATCCGAAGTATTAACAGGGGTTTCCCTTTTGGTTCCAACATTACATTTTAGGTTAATTCAGTGTTAGCTATCGAGTGGTGGAGTGGTGAACAGTAGGTTTCTGATTTAATTCCCAGACTAACAGGATGAACTGCTGAAGTGCCTTTGAACAAGGCACGCATGGCTAAGATGTGAATGTGTGTTGAGAGGGCATTGTTCTCAAAGAGCCTTCCTTGGTTAAATAAAGTTTAAAGAAACAACGTAGTCACAGTCTCTGATCCAAATTTAACTAAAAGGGAGTTCCCGCCACCTCCTCGCCACTATATCTACAACTCTTTAGTTATGTGAATAAGCCTGAATGGCTGAAGTTGCCCATTAGAAGACTGTTAAAATGCACATTGTACAAACTAAATTGTTTGGTAAATGTTTTAACTTTTCTCATTTTTAATCGTTTGTCATTTCATATTTATTTGCTTTTTAAATTAGCCTCACACTGTCAGTCAGGTGTATTAGGAGTTCATGTCGGTGTCTCAATAAAGGACAGAACTGCATCATCTCTTACATGAAATGGCACCTGTTTCAAAGAAATGTCAGGTGGCAGTGAAAAGAGGCAACAAAAAGCTGCCAGCATCACTTTCCATTTTCTTCTCACCTCTCTAAGGAACAGTGCCCACTGCACTAAAGAGATTGTTCTCCATGAGAGTAAAACACTAAGCTTCACTCTCTCCGTCTGTGGCCTTCCTGATATCTGAATTTGCAACAGGAGTGTGTGGGCACTGTCCTGTGAAACAGTTAAAGTTGAGCTGCAGAAAGGCAGATTAAAAATAGACAATTTTCTTTCCTTTTGATTCTGTTCTTCTGTCTCCCTATTTCCTCTGGCTCACCACCCCAATCTGTCTGCAGCTGTTCCATGTTTGTCATAAAGCTGCGTCTGGATTTATGTACTCTGCTCTAAAGGACTCTGAGCTCACAGAGCTGTGAAATATGCGCCATATTTCTTTCCATGTTCAGTGAAGGAAGTGGCAAGGCAGGGCCAGTCTGCTTTGGTGATGCTTCACTGATGTAGCATCACGTGCATGACATTATAGAGACAACAAAGGATGGATACATCCTAATTAGTGTGTGTCTGTGTCTGCAGAGACACCTTAAACATATTGACAGAGCAACCCCCCCCTTTTCATTCATTCATCCCTCATTCCCGGTTCTATACAACAAGGACAGTTAATACAATTGTAAACCCAGTTTTCTTTTTACATCTCTTTCATATACGCACAAATGTGTGTAGAGTTAACATGATGCAGTGTGTACATGCAGTGGTAAGGGAGACTGCAGGGTGGGGCAGTGGCAGTATTTCTCTGCGTGACTGTGGATTAGTGGAGGCTGTTCCTGGGAGGCTGCTAACTGTTGCCCTGATCTGTCCGAGCAAGATGGCAGCAGCAGCTGGCTGCTCTGGCCCCACCCAGCCCTTCCAGCTTTGGGTTTATCTGGGAACAGTGCCAGCCAAACACTCAGACTGCAGGCGCACACACACACACACACACACACACACACAAAGTGGTAACTTAAATATATCACAGCACCACTACACACATACAGACCTTAATATAACACAGAAGCATTTATGTGTGAATAGTCGAAGTTAAAATGCTGTCTGAAGTGATTTTTAACTTTAAATTCATAGATTTTGTGAGTCAATTTTGAAAAGACGCAGACAAAACACTGCGCTGCCTATTCCTTTGAAATATCAGCCTTGATCAAGTACTGCAAATCAAAGGAGAGAGAAGACAAGTCAGGTACAACATACAGGAACTAACGCTATCTGTGGCCAACGCAATTTACTTCCTGTGTGTTGATAAAGTTTGTCAGAAGGCTTTCATTATCCCCGTTTTTTTTTTTTTTTTTCAAAAGCAAATGCTTCTGCAAGTGATTTTCTGACAGTCACAGTTTGAATTAAAGGCTGTGAACTTGAATTTGAGGAAGTTGCCCTTGTAAATAATTTAAAAATAATAATCTCTGCCCATATGCTTTGTCTTCTCCATCCAGGTCCTGGATTTGATCTCCAGTGATAATCTCAATGTGCCATCAGAGGAGGAAGTATACCGGGCTGTGTTGAGCTGGGTGAAACATGATATAGATGGACGCAGGCAACATGTACCTTGGGTAAGACTTGTCTCATCTCTGAGACACTGAGGATTTCTCAGCACACTCTGTTTTGTAGTTTGACCCTCACCCCCTCCATCACATATCTTCTGTTCCACCTTCTCCTGACCCTAACTAACCAACCCACCATCCCTCTGAACCCGTTAGCTGATGAAGTGTGTGCGGCTGCCACTGCTGAGGCGAGACTTTCTGATGAGCAACGTGGATACAGAGTTGCTGGTCCGTCACCACTCGGAGTGCAAGGACCTGCTGATCGAGGCTCTCAAGTACCACCTGATGCCTGAGCAGAGGGGAGTCCTCAGCAATAGCCGGACGCGCCCGCGACGCTGTGAGGGCGCTAGCCCTGTGCTCTTCGCCGTTGGTCAGTGTGCCCCTGAAGGTACCCACTAGGGTACATTTAGGCCACACATCAATTAACTTTAGGTTCTTCTATAAATATATGAATCTAGATGACGTCTGGAATTTTTGTAGTATTGTGATATAACAAAGTATCCCAGGTCTTAATGGATGCATTGTAGTAAAGTAAACAATGAATGTCCATGTTATCCAGATTATATCAGTCAATATCAGCGTGGGTTTTCTACGGGTGTCCCGGCTTCCTCCCACTGTCCAAGGACATGCAGTTTAATAGGTTAATTAGTAGCTCTAAATTGCCCTTAGGTGTGAATGTGAACGTCTATACCCACAACCCTGCAAGGATAGGCGGGTATAGAGGATGGATGAATGGATGGATATTGTGAAATGTAATTTAGTTAACAGTGTGTTGTTGTTGTGGCCTTGCACAGCTTCAGAATTATAAACTAAACCATAAAATACAATAAATACAATTAAAGGTCATTGTTCTTAAGCCTAAAAGCTTTTGCAGTTACAACATAGTTGCTCACGTAGCATATAAAGACTTAAATCTTCAAAATATAAAAAAAGCCACAGTAAAGCCTGTAACTTGGTCCTGGTCCAGGAGTGAATCTGGGTCCAGAATCATCACAAAACCCAGCAGCCTGCATTTGTTTTCACCATAGTGTGTGTGTGTGTGTGTGTGTGTGTCTGCAGGTGGTGGCAGCCTGTTTGCCATCCATGGAGATTGCGAGGCATATGACACCAGAACAGATCGATGGCACATGGTGGCGTCCATGTCCACTCGGCGGGCACGGGTGGGCGTGGCGGCCATTGGGAACAGACTTTATGCTGTTGGAGGGTGAGTTATGAGAACTGTAGTTTTGACCTCTGACCCAAAACTAGTTCACTTACTGTTCTCTTACTCCAACATTACATTGTGTGATAGGAACTAGACTTAACTTTTATAAAGCGGAAGCTTTGGCGGGCAGAACATGTGGATGATTTATAATGACTGACAGAAGGTTATGGCTGTGAAAAACCGCTTGTGCTCCTGTTATGGGCTTCCCTCAATGCAAAATACCCTTTTAACGTGACTGTTTTTCAGTTGCTATTCATTGAAGTAGCAGTATGCTGCTATTAAATTATCTAAAAATGCACTCATCAAAAAGTAAATTTATGTCTTCATCTCCTCAGGTATGATGGCACCTCAGACCTCGCAACCGTGGAGTCCTACGACCCCATCACTAACTCCTGGCAACCTGAGGTTTCCATGGGAACACGGCGGAGCTGTTTGGGTGTAGCAGTCCTGCACGGCCTGCTGTACGCTGCTGGAGGTTATGACGGAGCTTCCTGCCTCAATAGGTGCACACAGGCTGGCATTTTGGTGATGAGTGCTGAACAGCTTGATAAGCTAGATTTGCTACATGCTTGTCTCTTGTTTTTTGTTTGTCTTGTTTACTTAGCCAGGTCTGAAAGACAGTATATTAAATAGGTCAGCCTTGCAGTGTCATAATACTTGATACAATTAAGTATTTTAATCCTCTTGCAGTGCGGAGCGTTATGACCCTCTGACCAGTACATGGACCTCGATCGCTGCCATGAGCACCCGTAGGAGATACGTCCGAGTAGCAACTCTGGGTAGGAACTTGCCACCAACATTATGAACATCCTGTTCTACTGTCTTCATTTTAATGCCTAAAATCAAGAGGGAGTTGCCAACTTGTTCTGCTAATATTTACATTCTGAGTGTTTACTCCCTTTTCCCCTCCAGATGGCAGCTTGTATGCAGTGGGAGGTTATGACAGCTCCTCACATCTCGCAACAGTGGAGAAATATGACCCCCAGGTAAATTGTATGCTGTTGTATATAATGTATCATCATAGCAACTTGTCTGCTGCCAGGATCAACTGGATGTGCAAATGAAATCATACACTACAGGTGAATCTATGAACATGTGGCCAATGCTCAGTTTTCATTTAATGAACAGGGCAACACATGGACAGCCATTGCCAACATGCTGAGTCGGCGCAGCAGTGCCGGGGTGGCCGTGCTGGACGGCATGCTGTATGTTGCGGGGGGAAATGACGGCACCAGCTGCCTGAACTCTGTGGAGCGATTCAACCCCAAGACCAACACCTGGGAGGGAGTGGCGCCCATGAACATACGCAGGTTAGTCTGCACCCAGATTATTACCATTCATATTAGAACAAGTCAAGGTCCAGAGAAAAAGAAGTATGTCTTTTAAAACAAACAGCCGTGCAACTGTCACGACTCACTTCAAACAGAGAAAGTGAAACTGCATAGCAAATGCAAGATCTCCAGAGATAATATCCACCAGGGTAGGTAAGGAAGCAGATTACAGCCAAATGCATTCCTTTCTATAATATATCAAGTTAGAGATGCTGTTTACGAAGTTTAAATATGTGAAAAGACTCTGCTTTATTTTTAGCTCTTTTAAATGCTCCGTATTTGTATAGCGCCTTTCTAGCCTTTTCGACCACTCAAAGCGCTTTTACACTACATCTGCATTCACCATTCATACACATTCATATACTGGCGGAACAGCCGCCAGGGGCAATTCGGGGTTCAGTATCTTGCCCAAGGATACTTCGACACGCAGCCTGGAGGAGCCGGGGATTGAACCGCCGACCTTCCAATTAACGGGCATACCTCCTAAGCCACAGCTGCCCCGTTTTACAATCTATACAGAATTTTGTGTCTATTCTCATATTTTGAAGGGAATATTTTTCTTCACAGCACTAAACAACACATTTTACACAACTTATTGACCAGTTTCTTTTTATTTTTTGGATTCATTTTTTGATTTGTTCATCTAATGCTATACAGTTGATTACAGAGACTACTATTCCCGCAACACAGGCTCACAGTAATGAAATGCCTCAAATGCACCCTACATTTTTCGTTAAGGCCTGTCCAGCTTTTATCCTTCTTTTTGTGCTTCATAACAAATATATGCCACTTTTTGTGAGGGAGGGGGGATGAACTCAGCTGCTTTATTTGAGAAAGCCTGTGGTACCCGCAGACCAAAACCCCAGTTTTACCTTAAATTAATCACAATGTAAAATCTCTGTTTTAATAAGCTAAAGAACAAAACTGTAGTGCTGTATGCATGGAGCTTATCAAAGGGGAACCCCTGCTGCGATTATTTGGCTCTGTGAAAAATCTACTCTTCAAGGCGTGGGATTTGAGGCATTTGGATGTCTTCGTTACTGCCTAAACCGTCTTACGGCATAAACATCAAATGACCCATTTTCCACAACAGTCAGCTCTTTCTCATTTCTTAGAAGATGGAACTTGTCTTACGGGTGATTATCAAAGCAGCATTGCATTGATACAAGATCGGTATCATGGAGGGAGATTTAGAGATGTAGCAGTCTTGGATTTGAGGACGCACCAGCAGATTCACTTGTTCCCCAGACACACAAACTTTGTTGTGTGTGAGTCAGCATACTGTAGTACCAGGGAAACCTGACAACAGTTGACTGTGCAGCCCCATGAATAACCCATGTGTTAATCAGCTGTGTGTCTTTGAGTGCTTTTCTTATCCAGTTGCTGAAAGGCTCCATTTACACAGTCCAAAACATCACACTGTATTGACCACTAATCTATCACTTTTCTAAACCAGTTTACATGTGTGATAGGTGGGAAAATATTGTAAAATAATTATTTGTGTTAATGTTTTGGCCAAAATAATCTTTACTATATCATGATAAAAACTCACCATTGTGTTCATGGTTATATGGCTCAGTTGATTAGACACATGCCTTTCCTGTGGGAGACCTGGGCTCAATTTCCTCCATATCATCCACAAATGTGTCCAATGTGCCCTGAGCAAGACACTTTACCCCTAGTTGCTCCAGAGGTGTGTAACCTCTTACACACACATCAGTTGTAAGTTGCTTTGGATGAAATTGTCAGCTAAATGACTAATTAAATTAAAAATAGATTAAGCCAATCACATTCTCTTCTGTCAGCTTTCAGTTTTTCAATGCATTTATTGATTGTGTTGATGCAGTGGGTTTGCACTTTGTGAATATATTGCAAATCCACTGTAAATTAACAGTTGCTGATTTCTCTTGGCATATATTCTCCTTCCAGGAGCACCCATGACCTGGTGGCTATGGATGGCTGGTTGTATGCAGTGGGAGGTAACGATGGCAGCTCCAGTCTCAACTCCATCGAGAAGTACAACCCGCGCAGCAACAAATGGGTCGCAGCCTCCTGCATGTTCACACGGCGCAGCAGTGTGGGTGTGGCTGTGCTGGAGCTGCTGAACTTCCCACCGCCCTCCTCACCCACCCTCTCTGTGTCCTCCACCAGTCTTTGACACGGGGTCACCGCTTGGCTGACCTCAGCCTCCGCTGCTACAGCCCAGACTGGCTCTGGGAAGAGACGCAACTGCTCAGTTTGAGACGGGGAGGAGGAAGAGGATGGGAGTGGACAGGTAAAACGATGGAGGGGGGGAGAAGATCAAAAGGAAAGATGTGGATAAGGCTCCTGGCTTGGTTAATATACAGTTCCCTCCAGAATTGGTGTCATTCTTGGTGAAGACTGGCTTACCAAGGTTTTTAAAAAATTACAACATAGGTAATGAAATTTAATTAAAAAATGTTGGCATTTTTTTAAAAGACTGTGAATGTGCACTGTAATCTTAAGACATGTTCTACACATAACTATCCTCTCTGAAAGAGCCACAGAGATTAATTTTTATTTATAATGGTTAAACCACTCTGGCTGCTCTTTATCAAGTTTGCCACCTATTCTGGATTGCACCGTATCTGGTCTCGATGCCTTCAACTCCACTGTACAGCTCCACCATACAGATACCAGCTCCCACTCTCCAAGAGTACAAAGACGTTCCCGTATAAAGATCACTGAACCACCCCCCCCCCCCCCCCCAACCGCTCCAGTGTTTGACACACTCATCATGAAACGTGGTGGACAGTGGACATACTTAAATCTGTCATTTGTGATGTAAATGTTGTTGTCCTCTACAAGATTTTTCTTTGGTTGTCAGGATAATTTGCAATAATGTACAAAAAAGGAGAAACTGTGAGTGATTTTACTTTTGGAATGTAGCTTTTGACTGGTTTATACCATGCATGTTTACATATTGGCATTGACTCCCTACAGGAGGATAAAATGTTGTAGTGCTGCTATGCCATACTAGGTGGCAGTAACAGGCAATGTTATAAACTTCCCACACTGCAAGAGAGCATGGACACCAACAACATAGAAGTTAGGCCCTCAGAATTGTAAGTAAGTATATATATATATATATATATATATATATATATATATATATATATATATATATATATATATATATATATATATATATATATAGAGAGAGAGAGAGAGAATAATTATGTTAACCTATATGTATTTATAAAAAGGTATAAATTATAATTCTGTTTTTAAAGATGCTTAGAGAAGGAAACAGATCGTATGCCTATTTAAGAGTGTTTTTTTTTTAAATATATTTATTTAGGTGTGTGACGTGCATATCCTCAATTGAAATGACAAAGAGAATGTCTAAGTGTAAGAGAGGTAGCTGTTCGGTTTGTGTGCATTTAAAGTGTCGCCTGGTTAAGAGGACTGATTATTGCATTTTGAAATGCAGCATTTCATTTGCATTTCTTAATGTTTCTTCACTGCCACAAGCATGATCTCACATGAAACTGTACCTTATGTCCACTACATTTGTGCAAAAAAAGCTTTAGTTGCTTACAACCCCACTGACCAGTCAATGAAAGGACTTTACATAGTTAACCCTACTTCTTAATTATTTTTCAGTGGACATGGAGGCGGATATAATCCTTGGACAGACTGCAGTTGAAAAATGACATTAAAACAGCAAGTATTAGTTTACCTAAAGTATATCAACACTTGACACTAATGAATACTGCTGTTAATACTTGGTGCTGTCATATTCCCTTCCTCACGCTTATCAAGTGTGGTGTCTTGTTATATTACCTCATTGCTGAAATGGATCCAACTCTATTGCAACAAAGTTAAACAAGAAACAACTGTATAATTAACCACCAACATATGTGCTATAGAGCGTGTGGTGGGTGATTTGGGAAGGTCACCACTGAATTTATGTTGTATAAAATAAATGGATCACTTTGAGATCACTTTTTGACACCGTGAATACCCGGGTTCAGTTCAGTTCATGTGTAGCGCAGTGTTAAAGTACCATTCCAGACTTCTGAGAAGTTGCCTTTTTTTTTCTCGAAGGATTTTGTTGATCCGAATCTCTTTATCTAAAATTACTTTACTTTTCATTTGTCAGAGCGGAGCCAGTAGAATAGGGGCTGTCATGGTCTTATGGAGATGTTGTTATTCTGTAAAGCCAATTTTAGTCAGGACTTCAAGAGAAAGGCGCACACATAAGACGTTGAAACCCCCATTCTGCCGATCAAACTGTAAATAGGAAGACTGCTTATCTTAAATCCATTTGTGCAATTTCAATGTGACTGTAGCTTTTTTTTTTTTTTTTTTTTAAGTTTGTGTTCAATGTGGTGAAAATTGTTTATTTATGATATGTTTGTTATTTATGAAGAACTTTAAAATATAGAATTTTGCACTATTGCGAAATGGAGCAATACACTGTAAAAAATCAAACAAAAAAGAAATAAAGATGTTTTCAGATGTGATAACTCTCCTGACGAGTCTGAATGCACCTACACACTGGGTGAGACAAAATCTAACATCTCACTGTACTCCCTATATGTCCGTCTACATAAGAGTAGCAGCTAAATGCCCACTGAAAACACATTCAAAGACACACACTTAAACTTAAGGTTGTGTTGCTAACAGTGTTTGTTGCTAGGCTCACTATACACTTGGTTACTTGGTACCTTTCCAACACACTCGTCTTTCATAGTGATCGAAGTTGACAGCTGAACACTCTCACTTTACCCTTCCTGACCTCAGTCACATGGCATTCACACCTGTGGCTGCCTCTGCACAAGCTCGAACCTATGAACTCCCACTCTCCCAAAACACATACAATGACAGGCCAAATATATACAATGCAAAGCACCAACCGCTTTGAATGGGAGGGGGAAAAAGGCTACAACTGCACTGCTGGTCTAACAGTATATTCTGAGGAGCATCAGTGCGTGTGTGTTTGGGGCTTTGCTATACTTGTGGCATTAGATTGAAAAACATGTAGCATTGTTGCAGATAAAACGTTAAGGTTTAATCTAAACACCATTTACATTGTGTAAGATGTTTAATGTTTGTTTAAAAAATGGTTTGCATGCCTCAAATACTACAAACTCTAAAGGAAGGATATTTGCTTATTTGTTTTCTTGCTAAGAGTTAGATAAAGATGCTC